GTGTTGTCCGGGCGACAGGCTGGATGTCTCGGATCCTTGGAGTCTCCCCTGGATAACCAGCGAGCGTATGCAGGCCCGCTACGGTGGGTCGGCTACGACGGCCCCGCTCCGGCGGGGTGGCCTGTGGGTTCGTCCCAGGGGGGTGCATATGACTGGGGGTCTCGGCCGTCCAGTCACAGCACTTCCCTCAGGCTGCTGGCGCCGCGACTGCGGTCGGGGGCGCCAGTTCTCCGCACAGCACCTGTGGCGTTTTTTCCTGATGTCCCCTGCGCTGCTGTCGGTCTGGAGGGGGGTGCCTGGTCCGCATCCTCCTGGGTATGTATGAGATGGGCCTGGATGCTTTAGCTCCACATGCTCCCCCCCTCCTCCCCCATCCTCCGTCGCCTGTCTGTCGGGGTGTGTGGCCCTGGGGGTCCTTGCCTGGATCCTCGGCGTCAGGGGGCGGCCTGCGGGTGTTCCGGGGGTGTTTTGGGGTCGGGCTGCGGTCCTGGTGCTGGCGGAGGCTTGGGGCCTCTGGCGCTGCTGGCCGCTCGGTTCCGTTCGCGGGGGCCGCTAATCGAGCCCCCGGCTTCGTTTGCGGCCTTCTCGGAGGCCGCGGCCGCCATCTTTGGTATGGGCGCGTGCGCCCTCGGCCTGACGTCACTTCCGGTGCGCCGCTTCCGGGTCCCTTTACTTGCGCGTCACCCGGCCGGATCGGTCTTTCACGCCGGGACGCGGTCGGGTGAGGACGCACTGGGACACCGGGAGTTCGGGTACTGTAGGAGGGTCGTCTGCCTGCGGGTCGGTTGCTAGGGGCAACTGCGACAACAGGCCTAGGGACGGGGGCGGTGCCTGCTGGGGTCTCTTTCCTGTGCTGGGGCTCTGGTTTGGCATATATATTTGCCGGGGACATGGATTGTGGGGACAAGCTGACTGCAGTGCCCTGTGAGGGCTGCGGCCTCTCCTCAGGGACCTCTCCCACATCCCCCCTTTGCGCAGCCTGTACTTCTGCGCCCCTCTCCCAGTCTCCCTTGGTGTCTGCGGGGTCTTTGGGGGGGTCCGCTGGCGCAATGCTATCCTTGGAGGCCTTTTCCTCCACCATGGACGGTTTTGTGTCCCGTATGGAGCGTGCGCTGACGCAGCGCCCCCCACGGAAGCGCGCTTTGCCGGCCCCCTCATCGGTCTTTTCTGGGGATTCTGCGGAAGAGGGGGAAATTTCTACTGCGGCCGCACAGCCCGACCAGGGGGACTCCTCTCAGGCGGAGTCTGGTAGTGACGACGAGTCGGGGTCCACCCTTATGGTCCAGGAGCGTGAATTGGTCACGGCCTTGGTTCGCGCTGTGCGGGAAACGCTAAAAATTGAAGACACTCCGAGCTCTTCGGCGCTCCCGCCGGTTCCTTTTGGGACGCACAGGAGTAGGCGTTCTACTAAGGTCTTCCCTTACGTTCCTTTTTTTGATGATTTTGTCTACAAGGAGTGGAAGCGCCCGAGCAAGTCGTTTACAATTCCCAAACGCTTCTCGGTTCGCTATCCTTTTGAGGAGTCCTTCCTGTCTAAGTGGTCTACTCCCCCCGCGGTGGATCCGCCGGTTTCTCGCCTGAACAAGGCTACGGTTATCCCGGTGGAGGATTCGCCTTCCTTTCGGGATCCCTCGGATAGGAAGGCGGAGGCGGTGGCGCGTACTATGTACTCGGTTTCCGGGGCTCTGCTGCGCCCCGTGTTGGCTTCGGCCCTGGTCTCCCAGACTTTAACTGAGTGGATGAAGATGCTGCGTCAGGGTCTTGCGGAGGAGAACGTGTCTCCTGCTTATGTCGATCTGACGGAGCAGGTGGTGCAGGGTCTGCAATACTTGTGTAATTCGGCCCTGGATGCGGCCCCGTTGGTTTCGAAGCTATCTGTGTCAGCGGTTACTCTTCGGCGCCTCCTCTGGCTTAAATGCTGGTCGGCTGACCAGGCTTCCAAGAAGGCTCTGACGGAGCTCCCCTTTACGGGGGAGCGCCTGTTCGGGGCTACCTTGGATGAGATCATTAAGGATCTGACGGGCGGTAAGAGTACCTTCCTGCCTCAGTCGAAAAAACCCAGGGACCAGCGGCGGAAGCCTGGTCCTTCCTTTTCCGCTCACAAGCGGCTTTTTCGTCCGCCCCCGCCCTCTGAGAAGGGCGGGAAGTTCAACAGGCCGACGCCTTCCCAGGCCGCCAAGCGGCCCTGGCAGCCCAGGAACGCCAAGCCCCAGGGTAAGCCCCCCTCGGCATGAAGATCTGCCCCCATCCCGGGATTCCAGGGTGGGGGGACGTCTTCGGCTCTTTGCGGGCCGCTGGCTGTCCCGCGTCTCCGACACCTGGGTGCGGGAATTGGTGTCCTCGGGCTACAAGATCGAGTTTCTGTCGCGTCCCGAGGACAGGTTTTTCCCTTCCAACATCCGTCTCCCTCCACAGCGCCTGGCGGACCTTCATGGCGCGGTGGCGGGTCTTTTGTCCCAAGGGGTGGTGATTCCGGTTCCCTCCTCGGAGAGGTTCAGAGGATTTTACTCAAACCTATTTACGGTGCCAAAGAAGGATGGGGTTCGTCCCATCCTGGACCTCAAGCGGTTGAACGTCTTTGTGCGCGTTCGCCGGTTCCGGATGGAATCGATCCGCTCTGTGGTGGCGTGTCTTCACCAGGGGGATTTCATGGCCTCCCTCGACATCAAGGATGCCTACCTTCACGTTCCTGTTTGTACCTTCCACCAACGCTATCTTCGCTTTGCGGTAGGGGACGACCATTACCAGTTTGTCGCTCTGCCCTTCGGTCTGGCGTCGGCACCTCGGGTGTTCACCAAGGTGTTGGCCCCGATCTTGGCCCCGATCTTGGCCCTGTTGCGTTGTCGGGGGATCTCGGTGGTGGGGTACCTGGACGACCTTCTGCTGAAGGCGGAGTCGCATTCCTCTCTGGTGACAGATCTGACGATCGCCGTCCGATCGTTGGAGGAGTTCGGCTGGCTCCTGAACTTCCAGAAGTCCTGCCTGATACCGACCACTCGGTTGGAGTATCTGGGGTTGATTCTGGACTCCACCTCGGCGCGGGTTTTTCTACCCCCCGAGAAGCTTCTGAAACTTCGCTCGCATGTGGCGCTACTACTGACACGTCGATGGTCGACGTTCCGGTCTTGCATGCAGGTCC